TTGCTAATGTTACTATAAACATCCTGTTGCTAATTTTTTGTTTTACATAAAATATATTTCTGTTAATTTTACTATAAACAGATACTTTGCTATTTTTTTTACATGAAAATGTATTCTTGCTAATTTTACTATAAACAAACACTGTTGCTATTTTTTTGCTTTACAGAAAAATGTATTCCTGCTAAATTTACTATAAATAGATACAGTTATTTTTTTTATATAAAAATGTATTCATGCAAATGTTAATATAAACATGCAGTTGCTAATTTTATTGTTTTACATATAAACGTATTCCTCCCCATTTTACTATAAACAGGTACTTTTTGTTTTACATAAAAATGTAATCTTGCTAATTTTACTATTAATAGATACTGTGGCTAACTTTTTTTACATAAAAATGTATTCTTGCTAATTTTACTATAAACAGATACTGTTGATATTTTTAACATAAAAATGTATTCTTGCGAAATTTACTATAAATAGATATTGTTGCTAATTTTTTACATAAAAATGTATCCTTGCTAATTTTACTATAAACAGATCTGTTGCTAATTTTTTAACATAATGCATTCTTGCTAATTTTACTATAAACTGATACTGTTGCAATTTTTTTACATACAAATGTATTCTTGCTAATTTTACTATAAACAGTTACTGTTGCTAATTGTTTTTTACATGTAACTTCATTCTCGTTAATTTTACTATGAACAGGTAGTGTTGCTATTTTTTTACACGAAAATGTATTCTTTCTAATTTTACTATAAATAAATACTGTTGCATAACATTTTACATAAAATCTATTACTGGTACTTTAACTATAAAAATGTATTTTTATGCTTTCATAGTGTTTTGTTTGAGAATTCACTATTTATCCATGCCTAGGATCCTATCTGGTGGTACTACTCCGGGTCAATGTGGTCATGGAAACAATAGCAATAAAGGGGTGGTCCCACGTTCTTCAAAACTTTCAATCTCCAGTTCAGTAGGACTAGAAGATCTACAAAGCAATCTTGTGTAAATGTAATTGTATAAAAGCGACCTGGAGAGATAGTAAGGTGAACAAACATTGCCTACAGCTAGTAAGGATAGACAGTCGTGGAGAGTCATGAGCGTTCTCCACCTGAAGGGACATGGTACAGAGAAGAAGAAGAAGAAGAAGAAGAAGAAGAAGAAGAAGAAGGAAATGATGTCGGGTGAAGCGAGTAATATCGTTAGTGCTTCTCTATAATAATTTTCCTATTATTATTAATTTATTGATCATACAGAACAGTTTATTCTTAGTTCAAATTCAAGAGCGCGAAATAAAAATAATTTTCTTTTCACACCCTCTTCAAGTTCAGAGGACGGAGGAAAAGAGGGGAATAAATTTGCGAGTCTATGTGAAATTTCTTTTGGACCAGTGAAAACCTTGTCTTCACATAAATTAGCCGCTGAAGAAGGAAGAAGAGAAAAATACCGAGCCTATGTGAAATTTCTTTTTCCCATAAAATGAAGAGAAAAATTAAATTAATAAGAGAAGTGTGTCTGAAGTCATGTGAAAGGCTTTGTTTCTGTTCACCGCGTCCAGCGTTGAAGTACTCGCCAGTGTCATATTAAACGCCAATTATAGTATCGGCTTTTAAACAAACACGCGACATTCTACAGAATTTTCTCTCAATAATCCAAGAAAGCTAAGTATTTTGAACTGTCTCTCTCCATCTAATTTTGAACGTATACAGCCATATATCTCTTCAGTGACCAACGACCTCTCTTCTCTTTAAATTAAATATAATTTAATTATTTTGTGCCAGATCATTTAATCTGTTGTATGAACATTGCCTCTTCATAATTCGTTAAAACTACGGTCTTTAAAAATTTTTGGTTTTATTTTCTTGAAACGAGCTATTGACACAATTTCAAGCGTGTAAATTCGTGGATAAATTCCTTATCTTATTTTGTTAAAATTTACTCGGGAGTTTACTGGCCATTATTATCCTTCTTTCATCTTCTTCGTGTGGGTAAATCAAATGTTCATTTTAACCCATAAGTCCTACGCCACTATAAATACAAATGGCAGTATAGCATCAACTCTCTTTTCTATGTAATTAGTTTTCAGCCTTTAAGTAATGTAATATTCTCGAAGATCGGGCTCAATATCCAAGATTTGCTTTTAGCTAGAAACATAATAGTTTTATAGGTGGAAAATACGGTTTCAACACTTGAGATTCTGGGAATTTATATCGAGCCGAAATTTTGCAGGACGTAGTGTTGTTGTAAACAGCCCACAGTAGAATGAATTCCTCGGATAAAATACCAACCGCGAAAATGTCGGTTGTTTAGGGGCGTAGACGCAGTTCCTGACTGTGCGACATCTGTCGAATTTCTGCTTTGGTTAGAGGAACCCGAGAAAGCCGGATGAAGGGCAGATTCGTTTTGGAGGTATTGTATGAACCCGTTTATACGGGTTCTCTGTGTTTTTGGACCTTACCCTTCGGGAACCCATGGTAAACTGGCCTATTCACATACATCCCCTCGTGGGGACTGTCAAGATAGCGCAGACGAGTTCCGTCTGACCGACTTTGGTCGAACTCTCTGCTTTGGCGGAGAGGAACCCGACGGAGCTATTCCGAAGGGCAGAGTTTCGTCTGAGGTAGACCGACCCTGAACCCGTTTATACGGGGTTCTATGAAATTTTTGGCCGAGCCTAGTCCGGAGAACCTACAGTAAACTCGGCCTTGGGCCACATAAAACCCTTCGTGGAGGGGGGGCAGTGTTAACTCACCGTTCGGACGTACACCCTACCGCCTATTGCTAATTTTCTTGTTTTATATATATATATATATATATATATATATATATCTGTTATTTCAATACACTTGTTCAATTTTACCTTTGTCTTCCGTGTCTTGCTTTCTGGCCCCTAAACAGGCCACAACACGTGGAAAACAGTTTTTTTTCTTTTTTCATTTTTTTTTTCAATTATTTTGCAACGAATTACAGTGAAGAAATTTAACATCTGGGAAGTGCTTTTAACAGAGGACGGAAAGTGCGTATTGGGAAGCATTCCAAAGCTAAGCAGTTAAAACAGAAGTCAAAAATCGCAAGAAAGAAAGAAAAGAATGCTAAGCTACGACCTGATATCTGTCCTCCTGTATGGCAGAAGTCTAACAATGTTGACTACTTTTTTGTTGTTGTTGTCAGCACCTGCTCGCGTCCGGCCATCGGGATCATCATTCTACTTCTCTTCTTTTTCCTTTTCCTTTTCCTGGTGGCGGTGGAGGGGAGGGTTGTGAATCAAAGAGAGTTTATTCCAGCTATCCAAAAATTGGTGAAGCCATTCGCGTGACTTTTGGTCGACAAGTTCTACAGAGAAGCCCACATCACCAGAAGCGCCTGCATCGAACCAAAAGCGGATTGAGACAGGCATGATCAGGCAAACCAGGTTGCCTCGGGCTGTCGGATGCTTGCTGACAAGGTCCGCTTTGTTACGCCAGCCCGACAGGCGCAAGGCTTGCCTAAGATCTTTTGTCTATTCCGCTTTTTTCGGGTTTGGGTTAGGGTTTGCAGAGTGCTGGAATCTCTTCAAAGGAATGAGGAGACTAAAAGCAAGAGAAATGCGGCTCTACAGTAGGATACTGAGGATACCATGGACCGTGAAAATGGAAACAAAAAAGGAAACTAATTCTTGACATCAGGAAGGGACAGTCGCGGTTTCTGGCACACATAACGAGGAAGGAAGGCTGGGAAAATCTGATACTCCTAGGGGAGATAGAGAACAAGAGGGCCAAGAAAAGAGCAGAAAGAATGAGCTTGAAAAACGGACAGCGAAAGAACTTTTAGGAGAAATAACGGAAAGACACAGTTTATTAAGAGCTACAAGAAACAAATATTGTGGAGAATCATGATCGTCTACGACCTGAAGGGAGACGGTACATAAAAACGAATATCAAAGAACTAATTTTGTAGAGTAACTTCAAGGAGATTGTTTCCAGCTTCTGTCTACAATACATACATATCGTTTTGTCTTTATAAATTTATTCTATTGTTTTTTAAGAATTCATCCGAAGCAAGGCGGAGTGTCAAGCACGCAAGGGGTTGCAAAAGTATTGAAAAAGACTAAAGAGGCATGTTTGGAGGAAAGGATACAGAGAAGGAAGGAATATGCTAGGGTGTCAGATGTCGATTGATAGGAATTATAGAAGTGAAGGGAAGTAAGGGAAGGAGTTCCATCGGAAGAGAAAGAAGCGTTTGAATGGAAGAGACGGTTATATCTAACCGTTTTGACAGTGAAAAGAAGGGAAGAAGAAGCTCGCCTAAAATCATGCAGTTGAAAACCAAAGAAAACTTTTAAGAAGTTGCCGAAAAAGAAGAAGAAGAGGCGAAGGAAGCCACGGCACATCTGTGGGAAGGCGATTGTAGACGAGATGCTGGATGAAAATTTTTTTGATATTGTATTCAAGAATGACGATATTCTGGGTTATGGGACCTACCCATAAGAACATAATGAACTATTCCATACGTAATAAATACTGCGTCTCAAGAGGAAGAAGTTCCGTCTGACCGGCTGATCGGTTGAACTCTCTGATTCCAAGGAACCCGAACGAGGCTGCCGAAGGGCGGAGTCTACTAACTACCCTAACCCGTTTATACGGGTTCAAAGGGCGTATTTTTGCCGAGCCCACGAGCTCGGAGATCTCACGTTAAACCGGCCTTTGTGCCACATGATGCCCCTGGGGGGGTGACTAAAGGTGTTCCGTCTCAATCTGCTAAAGTCTGAAGTCTGGTCCGTCAAAGTCCGTCAGAGTCTGTCAGTCAGTCGAGCGAATCAAACGAGTCAGAGGCAGTCCGAACAGAGTTGCGTTCAGACAATTACTACTAAACCTGATTGTTCGTACTAACACTTTCTACTTCTCTGTATATATTTCTGTTTGTACCTATCTGTTTTATTCCATTTCCGTTTTTCTTTTTATTTTACTTGACTAAATCGTGGTACAAGGAATCCGGACCATAACAATCTGTATTTATCGGTCTCCCCAAAGCGAAATACAGTTTCGAAACATTCTTCGAGGCAGTCTTCTAAGTAGGTAAAGGCATCGTTCTTTTTTTTTTTCCTTGTGGGTTGAATAAAAGAGGAATGAAAGAAGAGAGAGAATGAGATATAGAATAGAAGAAACGAAAAATAAGAAAATGAAATCAAGAAGAAACAAAAGTAAAAGAGAAATAAGAAAAATAAGAAATAAAAAAGATATAATTAAGAACGAAGAAATGGGAGGAAAAGGAAATCTTTGAACAAACGAAGAAGAAGAAATGAGATGATAGGAAAACCTTTTAAGAAACGAAGAAGAAGAGGAAGAAATGAAAGAACGAGAGAACATTTCAAGAAACGAAGAAAAAGAAGAATTGAGAGGACAAGAAAACTTTTGAAAAACTAGAAAGAAGATGAAAGAGAAGAAATGAAAGGAAAAGAAATCCTTTTAAGAAATGAAGAATAAAAAGGAAAAATTAGAAGACAAGAAAACCTTTAAAAATCGAACAAAAAAATGAGATGACAAGAAAACCTTTTAAGAAACGAAGAAGAAGAAGAAGAAGAAGAAGAAGAAGAAGAAATGAGATGACAAGAAAAACTTTTAAGAAACGAAGAAGAAGAAGAAGAAGAAGAAGAAATGAGATGACAAGAAAAACTTTTAAGAAACGAAGAAGAAGAAGAAGAAGAAGAAGAAGAAGAAATGAGATGACAAGAAAAACGTTTAAGAAACGAAGAAGAAGAAGAAGAAGAAGAAAAAATGAGATGACAAGAAAACCTTTTAAGAGACAAAGCAAATGAAGAGGAAAACGAAAAAGAATAAGAAAGGGCATGAAGAAATGATACAAAAAGATAATGAATCGAATACTACTACTACTAATAATAATAAGGAGGAGGAGAAGAAGATGAAGAAGAAGAAGGAAAGGAAGAAAAGGTGAAGAATTATTGCTAATGAAGAATACAAAAATAAAAGTTAAAGAGAAAATAAAACGAAGAGAAAAAGAAAGAAGAACGAATAAACAAGAAGCAAGAAGGGAAGATTGATTTTTAAGGACCTCTCTTTTTCTCTTTTTTTTTTTTTTTTCAAATCGAAGAGGCCTAGTTATTTCATTCTTGTGCTATTGATCTATATTGACTTTTGGTTCCATTGGTTTATCATCGTGTCATTGTGTTGGTATCGGAGTGAGGGTTGATCTTCATCCCAGCTTTGCTTGAATTTACACGAAATGGACTGGACGTGACCCTCTTAGAGGCACTGTTTTCAGTCGGTTCGTCGGTTAATGTGGACGGTAATGCCTGCATTGAAGAATGGTGGTGAGGTCCGTGTCAAAAAGACGAGAGAAGTGGAAGCTATGCGAGGAAAAGCCAAGAGAAAGATATAGCTAAGTAGCTAGCTAGATAGATAGAGAGGGAGGGAGGGAGAGAGAGTGAGAGAGAAAGAGAGAAAGAGAGAGATATAGGGAGGGGGAAAAGAGCAGGTTGATGGTGAAGCGGGTAATGAGAAGATGGTAACAGAGTCAGGATAGATTTGAAGGGAAGGACGGGTTTGTTGATGCCTGGACAAGAGAAGTGGGCTTGTCCTTGATCGGAAAGATAGCATTTGACAAACCAATTAACGTGGAAGATGTTCAAGCAGAGAATAAGAACAACGGAGGGCGACATACGTCATTCGATTTACGGAATCACAGGAACCATTTGTTTCCACAGATAACTACATCAGGCATCGGACATTCTATCTATCTATCATTCATCTATCATATTCATTATCTATCTATCTCAGCCTGTTCATATCTATCTATCTATCTCTATACTGACCATCTATCTATCTATCTATCTATCTATCTATCTATCTCATACTGACCATATCTATCATCTATCTATCTATCTCATCTATCTATTCATCTATCTATCTATCCTTCAAAATTTCCGCCAGGTAATATATTCGAATGTTAGTACAATTTCCAAGGGGGGCGTGTAATTCCAATCGGTTTCGAAACAGGTGCGATTCTCAGTCGTAGGAACTTTTTTAAACAGGTTCAATACATCCACGCTTACCGTCTTATTAGTATAAATGGTAGACACTGGGATCGATTCCATGACGTGTTTAATTCAAGTGAAACCCTTTACCAATCTCTAGCTTAACTGTTATTCACTTTTGAAAAGAGATTTGAAAAGGTAGATTTATAAGATATAGTTTAGAATCTTTTTAAAAGACATAAAAGTATCGACTTAGTAACTATTATTTATACTATTTATTGTCGGACAGTTGTCCTCGTTTTTGTTGTTTATCACACTGTTTCGGTCTTCCTCAGGTGTCTATCGATCTGGGTAACCTACAGTGAATTCTGAACTTAACCCTTTATTCAATCTACGTAGGTCGACTGTTCTCATTCCAATGATCATGTCTACGGATAGCGATTAGTTCATACATTTATTTGATACTGTTTAGTTATTTTGTGTCCGTTTCCACTGAATGCAAAAAGTACACAGGGATTGAAGTCACACCTACTATCTCACCAAATCCCCGGGTCGGGCAGTGTGTATTTGCTCTCAGTGGAAACGGTTGCGTAATAATTCATGTCCTGAGGGGAGAAAGAACTCTGAATTCAAGACCATGCATAATGCAACGGAAAACCACTCCACTATCTATCCTAAGAGGCTATGGCAAATCACGGATAATAAAGAAAGGGAACTTGTGGAGAGTCATGTTTGCTCATGCCCTAAATGGAGAAAGCCAACTCTGAATTCAAAACCACGAAGAAGGCAACGGGGAACTACTCCACTATCTTTCCCAAGAGGCTATGGATAATAGTTCTCCACAAGGGCCCTTGTGGAGAACCATGGTCGCCTCTGGTCTAAATGGAGCAAAAGCATCTCTGAATTCACGAAGACGGCAATGGGAAACCACTTCACTATATTTCCTAAGAGGTTTATGGATAATAAAGGAAGGGAACTTGTGGAGAGCCGTGATCGTCCATGTCTTAAATAGGGAAAAGCATCTCTGAATTCACGAAGACGTCAATGGGAAACCACTTCACTATATTTCCTAAGAGGTTTATGGATAATAAAGGAAGGGAACTTGTGGAGAGCCGTGATCACCCATGTCTTAAATACGGAAAAGCAACTCTGAATTCAAAACCACGAAGACGGCAATCAAAGAACAAATTCAGAAATCTTTTGTGCAACCCTAGACATGAGTAGTGGAACGAGAACAGTCTATCTCCATAGATTAAATAAAGGGTTCTGTTTGGAATTGCCTGTAGGTTATCCAAATCGATATACACCTGAGGAAGACCGGAGTGCACAATGGCCGAAACGTTGTGATAAAAACAACAAAGATGTGGACAATAGCTTAAATATAAATAGTATAAATAATAATAATAACTCCCCATCCCAGAAGTTCAGAAAAAAATTGAATTAGAAACTGTAGAAATATTGTTCTACAGAAGGATGCTGAGAATACCATTGACGAAACAGGTGAACAACGAGGAAATTTGAAGGATAATGGAAGCAAAAAAAAAAAAAAAAAGAAAAAAAAAGGCGCTTGTAATTGCAATCAGGTTTGTTTTGTCGATTTTCTTACGGCGTTGTGGGTTAGTTATAGCCGTAGAATATTTGGGAATATTTGCAGAAGTGAATGTCATGAACTCGACTGGGACTCGAACTCGGCTCCCCGATTATCTCATTTCAGGCCGCTATTCATTACATTGACCAAACAGCCGTTACTTAGAGCTAGAAAGAGAGAGTTGAAATGTCTAGGAAAGACAAGTAGGAAAAAGGGGTTGGGGAATATGTGATTAATGGGTCATATTGGAATCAGGAGTGATCGAGGAAATCAATGAATAACGAAGCAAGGGAGCGAGTGTAAATTGATGGCAAAACAGGGAATGGCAGCGGCGGTGACAAGAAAAACCCTACGAAGACGGTAAGAAATCTCATCTGATGACTCCAGTGTTATCGGGCTGGTAAGAAATCCCCTCTGATGTCTCCATGGCTTTCGGGCCCGGTAAAAAATCCCCGCTGATGCCTCCAGTTTCGTCGGGCTGGTAAGAAATCCCCGAAGATGCCTGCAGTGTCATCAGGCTGGTAAGAAATTCCCGCTGATGCCTCCAGTGTTATCAGGCTCGGTAAGAAATCCACGCTGATGCTTCCAGTTTTATCGGGCTGGTAAGAAATCCCTGCTGATTCTTCCAATGTTATCGGTCCTGGTAAAAAATCCCTGCTGATGCCTCCAGTTTTATCGGGCTGGTAAGAAATCCCTGCTAATGCCTCCGATGTTATCGGCCCGGTAAGAAATCTCAGCTGATGCCTCCAGTGTTATCGGACCAGTAATAAATCCCCGCTGATGCCTCCAGTGTTATCGGACCAGTAAGAAATCCCCAATGATGCCTCCAGTGTTATCGGGCCGGTAAGAAATCCTCGTTGATACCTCCAGTGTTATCGGGCCGGTATGAAATCCCTGCTGATGCCTCCAGTGTTATCGGGTCGGCAAGAAATCCTTGCAGATGCTTGCAGTGTTATCGGGCAGGTAAGAAATATCCACTGATACCTCCAGTTTTATCGGGCCGGTACGAAATCCCAGCTGATGCCTCCAGCGTTATCGGGCCAGTAAGAAATCCCTGTCGATACCGCCAGTGTTATCCGGTCGGTAAAAAATCCCAGCTGATGCCTCCAGTGTTATCAGGTCGGTAAAAAAATTCCAGGTGATACCTCCAGTGTATTCGGGTCGGTACGAAATTCCAGCTGATGCTTCCAGTGTAGCTCCCTTGCAGCCCATGACATCTCAAGGCGTCACAGACCTGTTATCGCAGGATTTGGTGTTAAGAGCCATAATATTGCCCACGTTCTGAAGGAACACACCGCATCGAAATCCTTTTAAATTTTTTATTTAGACTATTTCGATTGCTCTTTTAATGCCTTACCTTTTCAAACATTTTTCAGGGTGCTACAAAGGTGACCACTCAAACAAGTAGCCGGTACACAATGACCAATGGGCGGCTAACCATTTCGAATCCGAACCCCAAGATCGATGCCGGCTATTACCAGTGCATGGCAGAAAATAAATTAGGAAAGGTTGTGGGCAACCCTATACAACTTTCTTTTGGGAGTAAGTATACGTTATAAATCATTACTATGAATATTAAAAGATTTGTATTCACCTATTCGAAAAAACATGAATCCGTCTTTTCACCCCAAATAGCAGGTAAGGTTGGATCCATTAACCTTGGGTGGTAACCAGCTTAAGATAAAGAAAACCCGGAATTCTCAAACTATGAAGAAGAAAACCATTCTACTATATTTCCCAAGAACACACGGCAATTCCCAGATAGTAAAAAAAGGAATCTGTGGAGAGCCATGATCGCCTATGTCCTAAAGGGAGAAAGTCAGTTCTAATATTAAAAGCATGAAAAACGCTACAGGAAACTATTCCACGATTTTTCAAGGAAATGATAGCAATTCGTAAATAATAAAGAAAAGGAAGCTGTGGAGAGCCATCACCGCCTATGTTTTAAATGAAGAATGTCAGCGGTGAATTTAAAAACAAAAAGAATGCAACAGAACAACTGTATGATTTTCCAAGAAAATTATAACAAGTCGTAAATAATAAAGAAAAGGAATCTGTGGAGAGCCATGATCGCCTATGTTCTAAAGAGAGAAGGTCAGCTTTGAATTCAAACCACAAATAAGGCAACCTGAAACAACTTCCCGATCTTTCCCAAAAGGCCATGGCAATTCACGGATAATAAACAAAAAAGGAACTTGTGGAAAGCCATGATCGCTGCCCATGTCCTAAATGGAGAAAGGCAACTCTGAAATGCCCCGAAAACATGAAGAAAGGCAACAGAGAACCTAAGAATAATTTCGGAGATGTAGGCAACCATCTTTAGCCTTATTCTAGATGTAAGCATAAGTTGTGAATCATTAACGCATGTATTAAAAGATTTGCATTCACCCTTTCTTTCGAACCCTTGAAACTTGGGTGGTAAGTGTTTTAATTTGTGATCGCTTTTCTCCCCTTCTCCTTTTCGTTTTCTTAGCGTAATTCCACTGTATATAAAAGCGTTTTTAAATCATTTTTCTTTCTCCTATGCTGGTTGGCTATCAAGGCTAGAGTGCAGTGTCTGTAGTGCTGTATAACACATAGCTGGAATGCGGGAATGAGTGGGAAGAGATAGATTAATACCTTTCCCAAGAATATTTATGCGGAGGTGAACGCAATGAACTCAGCTGGATAATAAAAAAAGGAATCTGTGGAGGCCATGATCGTCTATATTCGAAAGGGATGAAGACAACTCTGAATTTAAAACCATAAAGAAAGCAACAGGAAATCATTCCACTCCTCGTTCCCCAGAAGTCCTGGAAATTCAGGAATAAGCAAGAAATGGTAACTATACACACAGTGCTCGCATATATATATATATATATATATATATATATATATATATATATATATATATATATAAATTATAAAAAAAAAAAAAAAACCCAGAGACATGAATTTAACGGGTGTCAGAACTCGTTGAAAAATACATCCCCACCCGTAGCTAAACTTAACGCCTTTTTCGAACGTAACAAATAACTGATACAACAAAAGTTAATAAAAATGAACACGTTACCACCCCTTGTCTGGATGAATGGATTTCTCTGTATCCTTGGTAACCGTAAATTATGAATTTCCTTTGTAGTTAAAACTCAGTAAATTTAAAAAATAAGTTAATCCAAAATTCGCTTGAGGATGAAATGGAACTAATGTTTTTAATTTAATTACAAAATTAAATGTAAAGTTTTTAGCTTCCATTTTTGAAACATGGTTATTACAGTGTAGCGAATAAACCATATTTTAAATAAGTTAATTTATAATATTAATGCTCTGTAAATTTACATTGAGCACTATTTTGTAAAAAATAAAAATATCAATAAGAACACCGGATTACATATCTTACTGTTCTTTCTTTTTTATTTAAATATACATACATACATATATATATATATATATATATATATATATATATATATATATATATATATATATATATATAAAGATATTATCGGAAAAAAGGTCAGCCATTATAATTCTGTAGGATAACGCTTTTAAGGCAATCAGTCTTTTTTTAATTAAACAGCTCAATATCAATTATTTTAAAAACAATAAAGTAGGAAAATATTTTGAATTATTCGAAAATCATTTGTCGAAATATAGTAATCTATCTATCTATCTATCTATCTATCTATCTATCTATCATAAATGCTAATATCAATGTATCACACTTTTTCAATTAAAGGGACACAACTCTCTAACTTTCAATAGCTTATGTTCCAGAAATTTTGGATTCCCAAGTTTACATCACTGCAAAAGTTTTCGCCGAGTTTTTTTTTACGTGATATTTTTGCGACAATTTTTGTACGCTACCAATTTTCATAACTGGGAAATAAATTTAGTCATAATTAAATTTAATTGCGAAATCCAACAGAAGTCACCCACGAAATAAAAAAAAGTAATTCTTTGTACAGAAAGTAAGGACCTATGTACATCAAATTGTCTTTAAATTAACTATCGGCAGAAGAATTATCGTTGAACTTTTAAAAGGTAAGCTTAAATATTAATGCAATACTGAAATGCAGTGATCAATTTAAAGTTCTTTTATAGTTTATTGTTGCCTATTGCATACAGCAACAATATGCCTCGCAAAAGGAAATCTCCACTAACAGAGGACCAAATTGCAATCAAAAGATCCAAGGCTGCTGCAAGAAAAAGAAAGTCCCGTGAAAATGAGAACTAAGATCAAACGATTGTCAGGAGAGCTTTTAATGCTAAGAATATGCAAAATTAGGGACTCTCAAACTCCTGAACAAGTGAAAGGCCCAATCAATAGCCCTCCGCAGGAGCAGGCTTAAATGCCGCCCGGTGGAGTAATGGACAGCGGCTTCGATTGAGGAATCGGGGAGCAGAGTTCAAATTCCAGTCGAATCCATTACATTCACTTACGTGCTAATACCCTTGGGAAAGGTGTGAATCCTCTTCTTCTCCCTGCAGCTATCGGTAAATAGCAGGACAGACTGGGTTCTATAGCTTTGGATGGCAACTGGTCTAGGAGAAGAACAACTCTGAATTCAAAACCTGCGGAGGGTCGTTTGGGGACCGTGTGGCAAAAAATGTGTGGATGGTCCTGCACGAAACCTTCACCACTATAATCAAATCTCATGTGCTGTTTTCGGGCTGTCGGTTGCCTAGGCACTGATCTGCTTGATCCTCATACGTCGAATTCGACGGGAGAGTCAAATTATATATATATATATATATATATATATATATATATATATATATATATATATATATATATATATATATATATATATATTGCTTCTTAAAGTAAACTACAGTCTTTTAATCGACTTAAAGAACTTTCTTTTGCCTTCCATCAGCAAGACTGATGCTAATGTTCAGGAGAGTGACTTACTGTAAACTCTCAAGGACACATGGTACAGTGGATAAAGGCGTTGGTTAGATCCAGTGACAGGACCCAAAGAGTGTGAGTTCAATACCCGGTTAAGGCAGTGGAGAACTTGGAGACGGGAATTAACAGGA